ATGTTACTTTTAATGTTAATGGGTGAAACAGAACTATAGGAGCACTAACTTCTACTGCCATAGAAGCAGCAACTACAGCTCTCACACAATGTGGTAAGGCACACGCTACACTATCAAGTTTTGAAGAAAAATATGCTATTGGTCTCATTTTATCACCATGCTGTTAGACTAGCACCGAGGTCATGACATGACCTTTACAATCCACCATCTGAACAAAAGGTTTTTTTTATTGATAATCTGGTAACGCTAACGCAGCGCTTGACACGAGGGCCTGTTTTAGTTTGCAAAGTGCTTCTTCTGCTTCATCTGCCCACAACAAAGAAGAAGACATTTTAAAATCATTTTTATACGTTAATTTATTCAGAGCTGCCACAATTTCTGCATAATTAGGCACCCAGTTTCGACAATAGTTAGTCAACCCCAAAAAGGACATCATTTGGTTTTTTTTGTTTGTGGTTTGGGAGCTTGGAGAATTGTTGTTTTTCTATCCTCCACTATGGTTCGTCCTCCTTCACTCAAGTTATGACCCAAATATTTTACTTGTTCCTTACACAGTTGAAGTTTATTTTTGTTAACCTTATGACCTTCTTTAGCTAAATGTTGCAGAAGTGCTAAAGTGTCTTGCTGACAGGTTTTCCTGTCTGGAGAAACCAATAAAACATCAACTATGTACAACAAAACTTGGCTCCCTCCTGGGGGTTGAAAAGTTGACATACTTGCACTCATTACTTGAAAGAGAATTGTAGGGCTTTCACAATAGCCTTGAAGTAGTCTGGTGTATGTGTATCTTTTCCCTTCAAAAGTAAAAGCAAACCAAAATTGGCTCTCTTTCTCAATTGGTATTGAGAAAAAGGCATTTACTGATGTCTACAACCGTGAATACTTTTGCATCTGATCTAAGAGAATTCAACAATGTGTGTGGATCAGTCACATGTTTTGTGTCTGTGTACAGATAGGTCACAGTTATCTTGGCTGGGGTGACCTTGTTGAGTCTGGCTTCATAGTTCCTATCAGGCCCAGGAACTGTTTTGAACCAAAGTGTGACGTGCAAATCATCAGGAGACATTTGATCCTGTAGGGCAGAAATGGCTTTATGCCCCTCTGCCAGAAGTGTTTGTGCAGTGTTGTGTGGGGGTTTGTTGGGCACATCCAATGAATAAAAGTAATACAGTTCCCTGTGTCCCTGGACAACAAAGAAATCCCCTTCTTTTATTCCTGTAGCTGATCTTGACATTTTCACCACAAATTTTTTACCCCAAGAATGTTTTCTCTACATGTTGTTCTACATGCACCCGTGTCACAGAGAAAATTTACAGGTTTGCTATTTATTAGGAGAGTTATTTCAGGTCTTATGCTGTCCATAGAAAGTAAATCCTGAAGATTTAACTGGACCTCTCTCTCCCCAACTTCTCTGATCTTAATCATGCTGACTGTCCTGTGTTTTTTGTTTTCTTTTTCTCGGGCAATTTCTGGCTAAATGTCCTTCCTGCCCGCAACACCAGCACCCCGAGTAACTGTGCCTGTAGTTTCCTCTCCCACGTCTCCCTTTTAAACCTCTAAGGTTCTGACCTCTGCCCCTAAAGCCTTCTCTTCCTCTCCTGTCCTCATAAAACATTTGTTCCTCATCCTGGAAAAAGGCTCCTGGAACCTTTTCCTTTTCTTTTGTAATTTCTTTCTCCCCACTTTCTCGTTTTTGCGCTACTTCTAACCAAAATTGTACATCATCATACCCTTCCTCGTACAATTTTTATTTGAATTTGTTTTTTTGTTTTATTTTATCCTGATCTTTAATAACTTTCCAGTCGTTTGATTTTAGACTGTCTGTTGGCTTAGTTTTACTTATTCATTTCCCCATTTTTTTTTGTAAAAATTTGGACCAGTTTTGCCGACTCCTAGGGAGTCCTAGAAACTGGAGATCTGATTCAGTAGGCCAGCAATTGAAAGAACCTGTTGTGGTAACTCTCACTTCAACTCTTTCGAGTGGAGAGTTCTTGCCTGTGCATCCACAAGAGGTTTGCTGCTCACAATCCTACTGTTTTATATAAGATAAAATACCAAGTGGTATTTATACCTCCAATCACGCTCACATACACACACTTTTTTTTTGTTTCATGGATTTGAAGCGCCTGTTATCGCCGTCCGTTTAACCACGGGTATTCGTCGGGCCCCGTTCCCACAACAGGTGGGGTTCGTAAGATCTCAAACCACGTGAGGTTGCAAAACCCCGAACCAGGTGAGGTTTGCAAGTCCTCGTCCCAGTAGGTTTTACAAGACCTCCAGCGAGGTAAGGTTTACCAACCCTTATTTTCTAGTTTATTTTATTTTATTTTTTTTCTTTCATTTTTTATTTTTATCTCTTACATACTGATACGGAACTTAAGCGCCTGTTTTCGCCGGACTCCGCAATCCGTTTAGCCTGCAGGTACTAGTTGAGCTACTGTTACTGCTCACAATAGTACAATTAGTAATTGGGCTGCTGTTACTGCCCAAAACAGTGCAGGTATTTTGTTGGGCTACTGTTACTACCCACAATAGTACAATTGTTATTTGAGTTGCTGTTATTACCCAGAACAGTGCTGGTATTAGTTATTTGAGCTGCTATTACCCAGAACAGTTCTAGTATTAGTTGGGCTGCTATCATTGCCCACAATAGTACAATTGTTGGTTCCCCAGAACAGGACAAGGCCTCCAGCCTTGAAGCACCAGGCTCCGTTAGCCTATCCACGGATTTTGTGCATTACTTTTACCTGTTAGAGTCTAGAATTGACAGGGTTTTCACTTGTGCGCGCAACAACCTTCAGTCAAGAAGAAGTCACTCTTCTCTCACACAGAAGAATGACTTACTCTCTAAAACGTCATTCGCCACTTTTTAAAGAAGAATCACTCACCCTCTCTTGTCTTTCCCTGGAGTGTCGTCAACCTTCAGATCCCAGCAGGCAGGCCGAGCCCAGTCCTTTAACAGGTTCTCTTGCCGTGCGCACGGTCTTACTGGGTCCGCCACACCTGCCGGAATCTTTCCAGTATATGACATCCGGCTCGAAGGACCAAAAATGTTAGGGTTAACACCTGTTAAACATACATTAACAAAGACAGAAAAGACAAAAGAGTTAGATTCTTTTTCACTCGCGAGGAGAACGGACAGAGATGTGCTTCAGTTACAATCTCCTACCGCTCTGAAGCACATTTTGTCTGCTCCTCTATTTTATTGTTTCTAGGATCCCTAACCACAAGGACGCTGTAGCTCTAGAGGGAGGGGGCAAACAGCTACAGCGTCAAATGTTATTCACTAACTAACACACAGTCATTCTGTACTAGATAATGTCCTTCCAGGCACAAAGATTAATAAAATATGTAGTGATCTTAGCAATGATGGTTTTATTGGAGGCCAGCAACTCAACTGAAGCAGAGCTCTTCACCAAGAGGTAAACCTGCAGGAAGATTTTGTTTCTGCTCTCTGTCAGTGAGGCCTTCTGAGAAAAGAATCAGAGCAGATCAACAATACAAGGAACATTCTTAATTCTATAATGAGATTAACTTTAAGGAAAGCATCAATTAAAGATACATTATAAAGATCAATGAGAATAACAAATAATTGATTAATAATATCACAATTTCTCCAACAACCATGAAGAATTTCAAACTCATAAAACTTCTGGCTCCATGAAGACGGGAGGAAATCTGTTTTCTTTTTGTTTTTTTTTGTCTTTAATCTGTTATTCATCCCATTTTCTCTGTTTAAAGTTTTTCTAATATTTAATGATGAATTTCTTGGACAATAAAGTTTCAGAACCAGTGTTCAGGGTCAGAGGTCAGGCAGAACTTTATGAGAAAACGACTTCCTGTTTCCTTGTTTCTTTATTGTTCAACAAACATTTTCAGGAGAATTCAACCAATCACAGAGGTTACAGCACATGACATCATACAGTGGGGCCGTCTGATTGGCCGGTCCGTTTCTATAGGAAGACATTTGGAAATCAGTGCAGGTAAGAAGAGGCGTGTCATCAGCAGGTGTTCATCGCCATGGTGATGAAGAAAGTAAACAAAAACAAACATGGAAACAAAAACATCCAATCAGTGACTCCGACTTGTTAACTAAACTAATTAACTAATTGATCATCTAATTAACTAACGAGCTGCAGCTACAGGTTGGCAAGGAAACTAAGTCAGGTTAAGGAAGATAGGGTGTTGCCATGGTTACTAAAGCTATTGTCTTTGAATTAATCTGTTTCTACTAAACTGGAAACCAGTTTTAGTTTTCATCGTCATTAATTTGGTTTCATCTGTTTACACGTCATTCTGACATCTGGATCCTGAACTCAACCTTTTGATGATCAACCAGTTCAGGAACTGGTTTGTGTTCCAACATATGAACCAGTTCCTGAACCTGTTCACATTGACTGGTTAGTGATTCTAATTGTTATTGCAGCTGAACGTGTTTCTGATCTGATTTTAGGAATTAAACTGTAATAAATATTTTACTCATTTAATGAATTGATTCATTTTAGTTCATGTTGACAAACATTTATCTGTTTTGTCTTTTTAAAGCTTTTTATATTTGATTTTATTATGTAATTTATTTACCTTGTGATGCATTTTCAGTTTAAAATGAATGATAAAAATAAATTTTATGTTGACAAATAATGTAAACAAACATAAATAAGCAGGATATAAATAAACATACAAATAAATATGCATAAATAAATATGTATTGTCTGTATTAAATAATTTAGTTTGATTCATGCAGATTATTCAATACTCTGAAATTACTGTCATCTGATTGGCTCTCAGAATCAAATCAATACTGATCAATGATTCTGCAGCTCTTTTTGGTCAGTGAATGCATCATAGATCTGGTCAGTGAATGCATCATGGATCTGGCCAGTGAATGCATCATGGATCCGGTCAGTGAATGCATCACTGAGCTTCCTGGCCGTCGATCCTCAGCTTGAAGGAAACCCGTCCAGCGAATTTTGTCCCTTTCGCTGCCGGCCATCAGAGTGTCACTTTACACTCCACGATGTCGGGTTCAGAGAGGCGTTCAGGAACTTCACGGCCACCAGAGGCTGGGTGTAGTTCACCTGAGAGACCAAACACATCACACCTCAGACCCGCTGATTCACCAGATTATAATCTGTTATCATCTGGGTTGAGGTTTGGGATTGAGGATCTGCTGGATCCTTAATCTGATCCAGTTTGTCTGGAATCAGATGAATCATAGAAAAGTTTCTCCAGAACCAGTTAAATAATAGAAGAAAAGAGGAAACAAAGAACTGATGCCTAAATCTAAATCTCATCATTTTAACAGAACCAGAATAGAACCGGTCCAAGTTCACAGCCCTGAGGAACATTAGACGATATTTATAAAGCTTTTAATAACAGGAGAAATAATGTGATGAATCTGATCCTAGTTTTACTGACGGCTGATAGAAACTCAACGAGTTTCTGCCGAGTCCCAACTGCAAGTTATCAGTACTGACTGAGAACTACAGAACTATTAGTATTACAGAACTATTAGTATTACAGAACTATTAGTATTACTATTACAGTAATATTAATACTTACTGTATTATTATAACATTAATATAGTACTGTAACTGAGTTCTACAGAACTAGTCTTAATCAGTACCTACAGTAGTAATCCAGCCGGTTCTGGTCCGTTCTCACTGAATTACCTGAGCTTTCTTCCCGTAGTACGGATAGTACATGAGGTTAAAGGTCGCGTTAACAGGAAAGTAGGTCAGAGGTCCCATCTTCTCTCTGTCCTCCTTCTGCAGACAAACAACATGAGACATTCAGGAACTACTGGACAAATCTATCTATCTATCTATCTATCTATCTATCTATCTGTCTGTCTGTCTGTCTGTCTGTCTGTCTGTCTGTCTGTCTGTCTGTCTGTCTGTCTGTCTGTCTGTCTGTCTGTCTGTCTGTCTGTCTGTCTGTCTGTCTGTCTGTCTGTCTGTCTGTCTGTCTGTCTGTCTGTCTGTCTGTCTGTCTGTCTGTCTATCTATCTATCTATCTATCTATCTATCTATCTATCTATCTATCTATCTCTATCTATCTATCTATCTATCTATCTATCTATCAGTCAGGACAGAAATCAATCAGTGAACGAGTTTCTGCCGAGTCCCGACTGCAGGTTCATTATCAGCACTGACTGGTATTAATATGATGGTAATATTAATACTGACTGTATTATTATACTATAATAATATAGTATTATAACTGAATACTACAGAACTAGTTGTACTCAGTACCTCCAGTAGTGATCCAGCCGGTTCTGATCCGGTTCTGAGTTACCTGAGCTTCCTTCCTGTTTCACATCAACCAGTTTGAGCTGCTGGTTCAGTTCAGCCAAAGACAGAGTTACACTGTTGACCAGCTGGTCATAATGTTCTGCCTGGTCTGTTTCTATAGATCACTATAGAATAAGGATCTAATACAGCAGATCTATGGATACCATCTGCTACATGCCTCACCACTCAGTGTTATCCTCTGTAAAGATGGAGACACAGATGGACAGACATGGAGACAAATGGACAGACAGAGACAGGTGGACGCACTCTGACCTTGGCTCCACAGGTGACATAAGGAGACTGTCCGTCCTTCCCAGGTAACATCCCGATCACCTGCAGAGAGACGGTGGAACGATTGGGTCAGTGAGGCGGCTCTGCAGCGCCACCATCAGGAGGTTCAGAATAATGCAGCTCTGCAGCGCCACCATCAGGAAGTTCAGAATAATGCAGCTCTGCAGCGCCACCATCAGGAAGTTCAGAATAATGCAGCTCTGCAGCGCCACCATCAGGAAGTTCAGAATAAAGGAGTCCAACTCTTCACCTGCAGGTCCCAGTAAAAACCAGCTGATCCTGAACACCTGCTGGTCTCCAACCAGGAAGTAACTACAGTATTAATGCATCCGGTTCTGGTCCGTCTTCCCATTTCACATCAACCAGTTTGAGCTGCTGGTTCAACCAAAGGCAACTCAGAATAAAATTTATCAGATTAAACCCAGATTAGTTTATTATTTTAATAAAGTTTCTAAGGAAACTCAGCAGATTTTGAGCTTTGCAGCAATTCCTCCTCCTGTGCAGCAGGTGGCGACAGTGGAGAGGAAAACTGAAACGAATCGAATCACGAAACAATTTTAACTTTAACTTATAAAAACCCATAAAATCACTTCAATCTTTGGACATCAACAGAACAACTTGTGGCTGGATTTGGAAAGACTTGTGACAGCAAACAGGAAGTGTGATGTCACAAACAGGAAGTGAGTTCTGGGTTCAGCCATCTTTGACTTCAGTCCCAGCCTTGACCTGTGGATCACTGGACCGAGTCGAAACCAGCTGGACGGTACCAGAACGGTTCCACCAGCTGAAGGTTTCCTTCCTCTATGAATCATGGAGTTCCTCAGGGATCGGCTCTTGGTTCAGAGTTTTTTGTCTAAAATCTACTTCCTGTAGATTTTTAAAACGGCCATCTTTATCCGTTGCTATGGAGACGACCGGCAGCTTTACATGAATCTGAACTTTGACTCTTTAAGTCTCAACGTTTGGACGACGAGCAGCAAACGGATTAAATCTGATCTTCCTCTAACAGACAAACAGCTGGATGTTTCACCTGGATGCTTCACCTGGACAGGTGCGTACCGGATCAGAACCCGACCTACCCGGTTAAGTTTGATCAGGATGCAGGGCTGGGCTTTGCTGTAGCCATAGGAACGGTCCTCCATCCCTGAGCAGTCGCCCAGCATGGTGCGGTTGAACCGACAGGAGCGTTTGGGATTGTTCCTCACCTGGAGACAGGAAGGGGCGGAGTCAGAACCTCAGAACCAGCCTGGTTGGGACTTTACTACTGGACCTGGTCCATTTGGTTCTGATCTCAGAACACTGAAGGTCAGAATCAGCAGGAGGTTCAGAAAGGAACAACAGAGGTCAAAGGTCAGAGAGGAATCCAGTCTGACCCGAGTTTCTCTGACATCAAACTGAGGTTCTGGTCCAGGACCGGTCCGACTGGTTCTGGTTCCAATCAGACACCAGAGCTCTGATTGGTCAGCAGCAGCAGGTGAACAGGTGACCTCTGACCCCCTACAGGTGAGTGCAGTGGTTTACCTCTCCACTGTCCTCCTGGATGAAATACTGATCAGGTGGACAGTCGTCGTTCAGCTGCACCTGGTGGCTGTCGTTGTAGGCTGGACAGGTGAGAGAAGCTCAGTCAGAACCACTGAGACACCTGAACAGGTAAACATTCAGTCTCACTGAGGAAACTTTTCCAGGTATGTAAACTTCTGGTCTCACAGGTCAGGAAGGCATTGAGGTTCTGGACGAAGCCGTTCCAACTGTCTGGGTCCAAAACAGAATACCTGATCTCCAGCTGGTCGCCTTTAGGACGGATCATCATACCTGGAGCAGGAGAACCAATCAGGAAGCAGCTTATTAGAATGAACCAATCAGGAAGCAGCTTGTTAGAGTGAACCAATCAGGAAGCAGCTTGTTAGAGTGAACCAATCAGGAAGCAGCTTGTTAGAGTGAACCAATCAGGAAGCAGCTTGTTAGAGTGAACCAATCAGGAAGCAGCTTGTTAGAATGAACCAATCAGGAAGCAGCTCATTAGAATGAACCAATCAGGAAGCAGCTTGTTAGAATGAACCAATCAGGAAGCAGCTTGTTATAGTGAACCAATCAGGAAGCAGCTTGTTAGAATGAACCAATCAGGAAGCAGCTTGTTAGAATGAACCAATCAGGAAGCAGCTTGTTAGAATGAACCAATCAGGAAGCAGCTTGTTAGAGTGAACCAATCAGGAAGCAGCTTGTTAGAATGAACCAATCAGGAAGCAGCTTGTTAGAGTGAACCAATCAGGAAGCAGCTTGTTAGAATGAACCAATCAGGAAGCAGCTTGTTAGAGTGAACCAATCAGGAAGCAGCTTGTTAGAGTGAACCAATCAGGAAGCAGCTTGTTAGAATGAACCAGTCAGGAAGCAGCTTGTTAGAATGAACCAATCAGGAAGCAGCTTGTTAGAGTGAACCAATCAGGAAGCAGCTTGTTAGAATGAACCAATCAGGAAGCAGCTTGTTAGAGTGAACCAATCAGGAAGCAGCTTGTTAGAGTGAACCAATCAGGAAGCAGCTTGTTAGAGTGAACCAATCAGGAAGCAGCTTGTTAGAATGAACCAATCAGGAAGCAGCTTGTTAGAGTGAACCAATCAGGAAGCAGCTTGTTAGAATGAACCAATCAGGAAGCAGCTTGTTAGAATGAACCAATCAGGAAGCAGCTCATTAGAATGAACCAATCAGGAAGCAGCTTGTTAGAATGAACCAATCAGGAAGCAGCTTGTTAGAATGAACCAATCAGGAAGCAACTTGTTAGAATGAACCAATCAGGAAGCAGCTTGTTAGAATGAACCAATCAGGAAGCAGCTTGTTAGAATGAACCAATCAGGAAGCAGCTTGTTAGAGTGAACCAATCAGGAAGCAGCTTGTTAGAATGAACCAATCAGGAAGCAGCTTGTTAGAGTGAACCAATCAGGAAGCAGCTTGTTAGAGTGAACCAATCAGGAAGCAGCTTGTTAGAGTGAACCAATCAGGAAGCAGCTTGTTAGAATGAACCAGTCAGGAAGCAGCTTGTTAGAATGAACCAATCAGGAAGCAGCTTGTTAGAGTGAACCAATCAGGAAGCAGCTTGTTAGAATGAACCAATCAGGAAGCAGCTTGTTAGAGTGAACCAATCAGGAAGCAGCTTGTTAGAATGAACCAATCAGGAAGCAGCTTGTTAGAATGAACCAATCAGAAAGCAGCTCATTAGAATGAACCAATCAGGAAGCAGCTTGTTAGAATGAACCAATCAGGAAGCAGCTTGTTAGAGTGAACCAATCAGGAAGCAACTTGTTAGAATGAACCAATCAGGAAGCAGCTTGTTAGAATGAACCAATCAGGAAGCAGCTTGTTAGAATGAACCAATCAGGAAGCAGCTTGTTAGAGTGAACCAATCAGGAAGCAGCTTGTTAGAATGAACCAATCAGGAAGCAGCTTGTTAGAGTGAACCAATCAGGAAGCAGCTTGTTAGAATGAACCAATCAGGAAGCAGCTTGTTAGAGTGAACCAATCAGGAAGCAGCTTGTTAGAGTGAACCAATCAGGAAGCAGCTTGTTAGAATGAACCAGTCAGGAAGCAGCTTGTTAGAATGAACCAATCAGGAAGCAGCTTGTTAGAGTGAACCAATCAGGAAGCAGCTTGTTAGAATGAACCAATCAGGAAGCAGCTTGTTAGAGTGAACCAATCAGGAAGCAGCTTGTTAGAATGAACCAATCAGGAAGCAGCTTGTTAGAGTGAACCAATCAGGAAGCAGCTTGTTAGAGTGAACCAATCAGGAAGCAGCTTGTTAGAATGAACCAGTCAGGAAGCAGCTTGTTAGAATGAACCAATCAGGAAGCAGCTTGTTAGAGTGAACCAATCAGGAAGCAGCTTGTTAGAATGAACCAATCAGGAAGCAGCTTGTTAGAGTGAACCAATCAGGAAGCAGCTTGTTAGAGTGAACCAATCAGGAAGCAGCTTGTTAGAATGAACCAATCAGGAAGCAGCTTGTTAGAATGAACCAATCAGGAAGCAGCTTGTTAGAATGAACCAATCAGGAAGCAGCTTGTTAGAGTGAACCAATCAGGAAGCAGCTTGTTAGAGTGAACCAATCAGGAAGCAGCTCATTAGAATGAACCAATCAGGAAGCAGCTTGTTGGAGGAAGCTAAGTTTAGCTTGTAGCTCGTTAGTGATAAATATTCATAAATCTCATTTTTATTCTGCTGATGTTTAAAAACTATTTTGTCTCTGAAGTTTTGGGAAATAATTTGATGAAAATCAGAATCATGAAGGAGAAAAAACTTTATTTGTGTTTCCAGTTAGTACATTTAATTTATAATTTCAATCTGTATGATTTTATAGTTAAAGTAAACTCAGCTGGTGATTGGTCCAGAACTTCTGCCAGTCCAGAAGGTCGCTGAGTTTGACCCGGTTTATCAGAACCACGTTGGGTTCTGGTTCTGTTCTAAAGTAAATCTGATTGATTAGTGATCAGGTTTGGTTCTTGGTTTGTTCATTTTTCCATATTTATCAATATTTAAATTCTTTATACCTGATGAACCCGGTACCGGTACCAGACGGGTCAGAACTTGATCCAGTTGTGAGGATGGAGGGAGGAACCTCAGAGGATGAAAGGAAGCTGAATCCACTTCCTGTATCTACAGACCAGAATGAAGCACTTCCTGTCTAAACAGGAAGTAGTTTATCTCTGGCGTTCTGCTGAGTCGGGTTCTGGTTCCTAGAGGAAACCAGTCTGAACCTCTGGGTCAGTTGGTTCCAGCACCAGTAAAGGTCAGAGGTCAGACCTTAACTCCAACCTGGTTATGATCTCTGACTGAGTTTATTATTATTATTATTATTATTATTATTATTATTATTATTATTAAACATCAACATAGAATTTTATTAATTTTATAAACTTTATAAAATTAAACTGAATTTATTTTAATTGTTTATTTTCAGTAAATTTAATAAAGTTTCTGTTTCTCTTCACCTCAGGACAAGAACCTCTGGGTAACCATGGTAACAGGCGTGTGTCCTCTCACCTGGTGTCCCCAGTCGGTCCTGCCAGGTGGGTTTGTAGTCGTCCAGCGTCAGCAGCAGGATGAACATGGTGAGAGCGAAGAGTCCAGCCAGGAAGAGATAAAAGATCAGATAGAAGAGCAGAACCAGGCCTGAGGAAGAGGAGGAGGAGGAAGAGGATGAAGAGCAGCAGATACCCCACCACACATTATTACCCCCCCACTGCACTACACCCTCTATTTACCCCATGAAGCCCCTTTATGTCTGATCCTCTGATGACCCACATTCATTACCATGACGACAAGGAGCATTAGCAGCTACATGCTAACTAGCATCAATCTGTGGGTTACCATAGCAACAAGCAGGTCAGCTACAGCTGGACCCGGTTACCAGAACCGGAACCAACCCAGAACCATCAGCTGGGCCGTGTCTGCAGAACCTCATCAGAACTGGACCGGTTCTGGAGAACATCTGGACCGTCTCGGCAGGTTCTGGACACCACCGGGTCAAAACCCGATTCCTCTGACAGAACCGGCCTGCAGGTCCAATAGGATCCTATCAGAACCACTGGACCCAGATTCAGTCTCCTCCTCCAGAACCTGCAGGTCAGAACCAGAACCAGAACCAGAACCAGAACCAGAACCAGTCTGGGTCAGGGACTCTGAGACTCTGTGATGATTGGCTCCAAGTCTTCGGGTCATGTGACTGTTGCCATGGAAACACCCTTTAAGAGGAGCCTGGTCCAATCAGAGCAGCCGATGGTTTAATCCAGATTAACACAGGGAGGAGGGGTCAGCCCCACTGCATCATGGGAGATATTATCCTCAGAAACATAAACCCAACAGAACCAGAACCGGGTCAGGCCGGTGTCTGACCCAAAGAGGCGTGGCTTTAACAGACCTGAGAGGTCAGAGGTCACTGCAGAGAGACACCGAATCCCAAACCTGAAAACTTCATTAAATGTCTTTTAATCAATAATCAGAAAATATTAATGAAAATAAAACTAATAGAAATAAAACCGTTTCCATGGCAACTAGCAGCACAGCAAACATCTGATCAATAAATGATAATCAATAATCTCTGCATCACATCAGACCTGCTGGTTCTGGGTCCAGTTAGTGGTTCCAGCAGAACCGGCCGGGTTCTACTGAGGTTCTGACACGATTCCTGGACCAGAACCAGAATCATCAGTAAAGCTCGGTGGTGGCAGCATCATGCTGAGGATTCAGTCCAGAATCAACCTGGGTCCAGTGGACCAGATGATTACAGAACCAGAACCAGAACCAGACCTGGTACCAGATAATCAACTGAAACCTGCAGGTCAGCAGAACCAGAACTAATACTGGACCGGCCCAGATCACCTGGAACCGGGACCAACGTCTGGTGGTTCTGATGGACCAGAACCCATCCTGGTTCTGGTCCGACAGAACCAGGACGGGTTCTGGTCCATCAGCTGGTTCTGCAGCAGTCTGACGTCACAGCGGATCAATGAAGTGATGAAGAGGAGGCTCCTCGGCCTTCATCTCTAATAATCAGAATCATGGATCAATAAACTGAGCGGGCGCGCGCACGGCGCCGCGCTCTCACTCACCCCAGCTCGTGCCCGTGCGGCCCAGCAGCTCGCGCGTTCGCGGGTTCCAGAAAAAGTCCCGCCAATCGCTGGAGGCGCGGCGGGAATCCTCCTTTGATCCGGACATGACGCTGAGGATGAGGAGGATGAAGATGCAGCGAGGATCGATCAGGAGGATGAGGAGGGAGATGAAGGTGATGATGAAGGACACCGGGACGCTGCGTTCAGCCCGGAGCGGTGACGTCATCGGACCAATCACGGAGCGGCTCTCATCGCAGCCCCGCCCCCCGAGGATGACTCACTGTGACGTAACGGAGGGACGTCTCTGGGAGGTTCGTGACTATGACGTCACAATTTCCAGAGGATCAATAAAGTTTCGATCATTTTATCAATAATAATCAATATAAATAGAGTTTATATTGATTATTATTGATCTTTTATAAATAAGAAAAATACAAAATGTAAATATTTTAATATAAATGTAAATATTATATATCATGTTTTTTAGCCACTTCTATATTTTATATTCTATATAAATAAAAATATAAACGGAAAATCAACCTCCTAAAAAAATACTAAATAACAAAGTCAGAGAAATTTCTTATAAAATTATTCATAATGTTTCCAGTTGAAACATTTTTGATTGAAAAAAGATATAAGTGGGATTTGAACCTTTTTCAAAGCAGAAAAATGTTTTCCCCTAGTGACAAAAAACATCAATAACTTATAATAAGTGAAATAAATAAATTAACACATCATTGAAAGACTGGAATTAAAGGGTCATTTCAACCAAAGCTTTGAAAGATGCTTCAAACTCTTCAACACATTTCAGTTTAGTACATCAGATCATATTCAGAAATGATTTTTATTGATTTAGTAATGAACTCTTTACATAAAGTCTATAATATCTGCACATGTTCACCAGTCAAGGTTTTATTAATAACCTGTCAAATGATCGACGACCTTCAAAATTAAAAACAGAAAAACAACCAGTTTGATCATTGGGGTGAATCCTGGGGGTCCAGACCCCCAATCTGGAAAAAGCCTAGAATTAACCCCCCAAAAAATCATTAAAGAAAAATTTACATTTCAATAATATCATTATGAAAAGAAAAAAAAAGAACGAACTAAATCTGCCATTTATCTCAGAAAAATAAGTATGAATTTTTCTGAACAGGCCCTTTTCTGGAGCCTGTTCAGATGAACTGAACAGGCTGGCAGAGCCTGGAGTATCATAAATTTATTCATAAACAGAACTTTCCTGATTTTACTATTGCTTTCTATGTTTTTCCAGCAGGTTTGAAATTTCTCAGATCAACTTCAGGAAGATTCCAGATCCAAGATCCCAGATTTCCAAAGTTATTTATTAGTAATTAGCTGATCCTTAGTGTTAAAACTGGAAATAAACATATTAGAGAAATAATCCAAAGGAATAATGTTAGTAAACCTGCTTCAATCTTTTTTTGGAAAAATTTTTATTCAGTTATTGATTGGGAACAAACATATTATTGCAAAGAAAGTTTTTTGTCCTAAATAAAGTACGGGAGGCGTGTCTTAAACTTTTACCCAGGTGTTAAATTCAGTCCTGAATAAATATATTCCAAATATTGAATATTATTAAGTTAAGAAACATTGACCAACTTTTTGGGAATTTCAGCAAAATGTTTTGGGGTGACTTCAATATTTTTGTCATGTTGGAGTTTATATTTCTACCAGGGGTGATTCTAGGATCTGACCTCTGACCTTTAGGAGGCCTGAGCCCACAGCAGGACTAAGGCCCAAGAGAAGTTATTTGTTGTTGCATTTTTCTAAACGTCACTGCTTATTTACATACATTCACATAAAAAATGAAATAGTTTCATCCAACTAAAACTGTTAATAACTGAATACAGATCTGGAAGAAATGAAGAGACCAAAACCTGCTGGTTATTCCACCAAATATTGATTTATGACTCTTCCTGAGTTAAAACATTAGATTTGTTTCTAAATGAATATAAACTTGTTTTCTTTGCATCATTCAAGCTCTGAAAGCATTTTTAGCATTTTGACCTTTTCTCATTTTCTGAAAATAAATACAAAGTTTTTGCTTTGAATTTCAGAGACATGCTGTCAGTAGTTCAACAATCTTCATTTTACTGAAACATGAACCTATAAAGAGTCAAATCAGAGGAATGATGGTTTTTTCCAGAGCTGCATGTGAAACAGAATCAGAACATCATACCTGCCAACATCTGCTAACATTAATGAGACACAAGCAGCTGTGGAGTCACACTGCCCCAGTGAATCTGCTGCCCTGAAATGAAAATACAATCGACTCAAAACAAAAAGCATTTTACTAAATTCATGGGATCGATAAACCGAAACCAGATTATTATCAAGGTAGTTCTGACTAGTCCTTCACCTGAACTTTATTTGAAAATCATACTTAAAATTTGCATTTCCATTATTTCCATTATTTTATCTGAACATTATGCAGCTGTTGGTCTTTTTTCTTTAAACAAAAATGTTTGTCCATCTATGGAAGAGTGAACATTATAAGTTGGGTTTAATATTTCAGTTCACAGTTCATGAAGTGGGTTTGTCATAGTTTCAGTACCAAACAGTCTGCAGTGTTCAGTTTACCTGATCACCTGTATTAATACACCTGCAGCATTTTCCCGCCCTTCGCTCTGAACCAGCGGCTCCCAGAGGAGAAAAGCTGCCAGACTCCAGCATCGCTCCCGTCATTTTAAGGATGTTTATTGATCCCCAAGAAACGACAAAAACTCAGACATTATCATGAATCAATAAAATCCTAACCCAGGCTGAACTTGATAGTTGTGCTAACTGTTAGCTTCCGTCAACCACTGAGGCAGAAGTTGCTGCTCTGCTCAACAGGTACCGACCCAGACAGAACATGATGCTTTAAATAATAAAACATGACATGTTCATGTGTTGTTCATCCTGGAATGAGCCTCTTCCTCCTCATGCCTGGATATTTTCCAGTTTTTGTTTCTAAGGACGATGGAGAATCAGCTGATAATTTAACCAAAGAATAGAGGTCAATCAGGTTCAGATAGCAGTTTACTGACAACTAGTTAGATTTATTACAAATTACTGGACTGAAACATTCAACCTCATCTTAACTCAGTTTACCTGAAAAACATCAACAAAACAAACTAACAAAAAAAAACAAGATTCACTCCAAACATGAGTGAAATACATGCCTGGTGCTCATCTCATTCAAACACACTTCTGACAAATTATATTTGTCTCAGCAGGAAGTCTCATAAATGTGGAAATAGGACACAGTTTATGTCTCAGAGAATCCTTTCATGGTCCAAGGTAAAAAAATAAAAGAAGCTGGCCAGCAAAACAAAACGAATATTGTTAATAGAGCTCTATATTTGGTGTGTGATGCATCTGAAAAGATGATGCTGGAGGCGGTTCTGACTGGGATGGAGACCCAGAATGAAGATGCAGCGGCTCCACAGACCCGGAACTCAGCAGCTTCTCTGTTCCTCTGATAGCAGGAACACGAACAGATTCCTAATGAATCAGCCACAATAACAATGAAGCTCTAGCAGGAAAACATATGAAAACATAAATGAGGCATGAAGAAACCAGGCCATATGCAGAAGCTGGGCACAGACCGGCATGTCTCAGTTTTGCAGCAGCTCTGAATCTTCGAAGTTTGGGAGTTTCCATAGCAACTGCAGTCAGAATGCTGCCGTAAAGTACTGCCGTACTTCGCTCTTAAAGGGACAGTACCCATAAAGTAAAAGAAATAACACACACTACACACATATGTAGCAGTGTGATGTTATTACACTAGATTGTTAAGTAAAAGTTATTCCGATAGGAAATTCTGAGCACCGGCAGCTTTATTTTGAAAGGACGAAAGATCCATTGTAATACTGCGGGTAACTTCCTGTCTCCAAATTATTATTTTTATTAAAAAGTTCATGTGTTGTAAATAAAAATAGGAATTATTATTGTTTCTGTTGAACATATTTAGTTCATGGATCGTTGTTTCTAGTATCAGTTTGGAGTTTAAAAATATAAATTAGTGGATCATACCATTGTAAGGGTTTTCACACTCTCTCCTCTTTCTGTTCGGATTCTGTGGGAGAAGGTCTGAAGTTTCGTTTTTGTGTTTAATAAGTGTATGTTAAGTGTAATATGTGGTGGTTTTATCACGATTTCTGTAAAATAATAATGTGCATTGTAGTATTTAACCTTTGTTAAGTTAAGGTCAGTAGCTAGCAGTTACTCTTCTGATTGATACTATTTTCTGCCATTTGAATGCAGGTGCATTAAAAATTGCATTCATATCAGCTGTTGTCTGGCTGTTATTGCCCCAAAAAGACACAACGCAGAATCAGCTACGCTACAAGGGTTACAGTTATTTAAAAAGACGCAGGTTGAAAAATCTTGAATGATCATGACCGGCGATTACTTAAATGTTTGGTCAAATCAAATCGAAAAAACAACAACAGAACTCAGGAGTATGTTTAATTGTGAACGCAAAAGCATTTCCACACACACAATACGAAGGGAACTCAAGGAGTTGGGATTGAACAGCTGTGTGTCATGAATTGGTGTGGTGGAGATGGTGAGGCAGACGCTGGAGGCCCAGGTAAAGTAAGTAGTCTAATTTAATAGAAGAAAATGTCCAGAAAACAACAGTCAGCAAGCGTAGTCCGCGGCCAGGCAGCACAGGTGAGCGGAAGCCAGGGCTCACACTGGTAGCAACTGGTCTTAAAGGCGGAAACAAACGACGGCAGTGACAACAGCACGAAGAGGAACAAAGGACACAGGAGGGACTAAATACACTGAGGGCAATCAGGGGAACAAGACACACCTGGGAACAATCAAGGGGAAGACAGGACAACGAGGAGAACTCAGGACACAGAAACTCAAATACACAACAGAAAAACACGGAACATGACACTATGTAGCCGTAAGAAAACCTGTAATCAGTTAGGCTAAGCAGAAAAAAAGGCTTCAGTTTGCTAGGGAGCATAAAGATTGGACTCTAGAGGAATGGAAGAGGATAAATCTGAACTCAGGGGAATGAGTTCAGATTTACCCTGTTCCAGAGTGATGGGCGCATCAGGGTAAGAAGAGAGGCAGGTGAAGTGATGCACCCGTCATGCCTAGTTCATTCATTCATTCATTTATTTTATTTTGGTAAACTGTCCACATCACCAGAAACAACAAAGAAATAACAATAAACAATAAATAAGTTCCTACT